CTAACATATAAGAATATCGAAAAAAAAGTAGAGTACACACAAAAAGGCGTTCCAGTATGATAAAAAATTATTTTTATTACAATTCTTCATGTATAACTAATATAATCAAAATTATAATAATCTATAATATATGGTTTAAATAATAGATAATATAATACTTTTACGATGTCTGTAATCCGTAATAAATTTTATCTTTGTTTACAAAAACTCTTTACAAGTCTTGTCTTTTGTAACTCTCATTAAAAGAATACTAAATATAATAAATCGACAAAATTAAATATCAGATACATACCTGCAGAGATAGATTAGTAGAGTCGTGAGACATGTAGGGAGATAAACATAGAAATGCATAATTGAATGTATTCACAGACGGACAGGAAAACTGTCAAATAGACTGAATTATGACTGCTTGGGTCAGTGTAAATCTTAACAAAGGTTTCATTAACAAAAACCCCAAAAGATCAGACGGCCAAGCAGCCATAAAAGAAGTCACATCTAACCTTCACTGGGTGTATCCAAAATGAACAGCTTGACAAAATCTTGCGTCCTAGGACTCGAAGGAAAACTGCATAATAAAAAAGCAGACGACTTGCCAGAGTAGGATGTGCAAGAGCACGTATAGGCCCTGAACCTATTAGTTGAAATAACAGGAAGAAATAATGCTCCATCTTTGAAGGGATACGCAAAAAAAAAAAAATGTGTGGACGAACCCTACAGGTGACAGACCAAAACTGGCAAACCTATTGCTTCAGCTGAAAAGGCAAAACTCAGACGAATGACAGACACCTATCTACACAACTACTCAATGATGACCCTGTCTGTAGGTTATGAAATCAGGAGGGAGAAACTTCCCTTCCACCTATCTTCGCATGCAAAGCAACCACTCAATGGAGGTATCCCAGGATATCAAGAAGCCCCAGGAAAAGGAATCGCAGGAATGACCAATTACTTCTGAAGAGAAGGATCTAGTCAATTGAACTAAACTAAGAAACTAAGAAAAGTGCAATAAGCCAGAAGGCTGCAATCCTTTGGGAATATAAAACCCCCGCTTCAGGTCTTCCGTCATCATCATCATGAAAAATATGTATATATACTGTTAAAATATAGATAAATTCGTTGAAAGATAAAATTAGCTGACGATATATATGTATATTGTCTTGTAAATAAGTTATCCGATAAGTTATATGTACTCTGTCTTTTTCCCTCATTAAAAACAAGATAGCAAGGTAGCAACCAGTTAAGTAGAACAATATATATATATATAAAGTGGAAGGTTTATGGGCCGACAAACAGCTGAGGTCATCGCCGGCCCTCCGCGTGTATTCCTTCTATTTCCTGTCTTTCTCGCGTATTTTATATTGAACTGCAGCCATTTGAGCATCTCAATCTGGTTACTGACTCTCTCCTTTTACTTGTATATTACGTCGTTATTTTAAAATGCTAGCCTCTTGTTAGTACCTCAGGTTGTCAATTTAAAAATAGATACACAACATACAATACATAACATATATATCGCTACAAACATAGAAGTCTGGTCACATTCTCTCCCCCAGAGTACTCGATATTCCTCGGGGCGGGGTTGAACCCACTCCATTCGCTCTAATAACTTACTTTTACTCTCCAGACGTCACACACTCACCCCAGAGTACTCGATATTCCTCGGGGCGGGGTAGATAACCCCTTCCTTTCATGCTTAAATTATATTCATTCCAACAGAGTAAAATATAAACAACATACAATACTAACATAAAAGTCTGGTCACATTCACTCCCCCAGAGTACTCGATATTCCTCGGGGCGGGGTTATAAGCAACCCCTTCCATTCGCTCTAATAACTTACTTTTACTCTCCAGACGTCACACACTCACCCCAGAGTACTCGATATTCCTCGGGGCGGGGTAAATAACCCCTTCCATTCACGCAAATAAATTACATTCATCCTAGTGTATTAACATGAACATCACACAAACACGACACAAAAACTTCAGACACAACACAAGCACAGCACAAACACACATAAACTATATACATTTGAAAATCCCTATAGCCCTGAGGTACCGGTACAGCGATTTGTGCCCGCTGCCGTGCCCCAAGACTACTTGGAAGATGATATTCCAAAATATTGCCTATAAACGTAGTAGAACAATAATAAGGGACATTTGACATGACCTTTGATAAATAAATAAAAAGATAACACTTAGAGATCAAGCGGATGCCTTGATAAAGATTTGAATTAAATCGAAACGTCGGCAAAGATTCGAAGTCGTTTTCTTTCCAACAACCATTGACCGAAATTCCCATCACCACCGATACGAACACCACAATTAAAAACAAGATGTTAGGTGTCATATATGTTTTGAAAGCAAATAAAATAATAAAGTAAATAGTCTTTCTGATAATATTAAATATATCAAAAGTAGGTTTCTATATTTAAACAAAATGTGTTGTTCAATAATTTTTACGATATTAGTATCATCAGGTTGTCGAAAAAGAAACAAAATATTTTTAAACCATCAAGAAACATCTTCGTGTTTACTTTTAGAAAGGTTGAAAACCAGTGCAATGTTACTTTGGGGATTTTAAGTCGTCGTTACATTTTTCGTGTTCCGGTTTTTAACCCTTTTTGAGGAATTTTCCTTCCATAAAAAAGCAAAGTGCGAATCGAAGAAAACATTCCAACACCACCTGACTTAAATCGTGGCAAATCCGACCGTGCAAAGGGTTGGGGTTCATCGTCCGAAGATTGCATATCTGTGACAGCCGATTAGGAATTTTTTTCAAACTTGTTTTGATTTTCTAGAAGCTGTTAAAAGACATGATTCTATATAGAACCTTTTTTTTTACCTTTTTAGGTTTTTCCGAGTTTCTAATTATTAGGTCGGTGTAACAAATATTAATATTGCACTCTTATCGGAGAATATATTTACCTTATTGTGGAAGTGAAAAGAATGTTTCTTTTTAGCCTGAAAATTGAATCGATCATTGGATTTGGATTTATCTAAGCTCAAATCTGCCCATGTACATACATACACACATGACCAGAATTGAGCCTATCACTTGTCGCTGTCCACCTGCAATTCAAGTTTTTGTCGTTTATAATAAATTGCCGACAGTCTTCGAGAATCACCCACCTCGGGTGTTGGCAGTCCGGGTCTTGCTCCTTCAGCCACCGAAGTTGGGCTCCGGATGCTGTCAACAGCTAGGTCATTTTAGCCCCCAACACAATCTGTTCCGAGAAGCAAATCATTCACACTCACTCGTTCTTAAATTCATTCTTTCCTATTTAAATACCTTTCACTTCATTGGGGTATCGAGTACTCGACATTCATCCATGATCCTTTCATCCTATTACATAACTAACCTAATTGAGATGGGGTACTCCCATCCGCCATCACTCCTCATACACTACATATTCATGGTAATAAATGCATTCACTCTCAACACACGCTATGAACGCAAAACTAATTCTCTAAAACATGCTTGTTTCATCAAACAATCGGAACGGGGGACAGATATTCGCTGCTCAAGCACAATTCTCATATCGGTCGCATTCCTACACGCTCTCTATACAGAGCCAAGGAGTTGCACCCTCCAATTAGGTGGGGCACATCGAGCAACCTATCTCTCGCTGGCTTTGGCCGTAAAAGTAAGTGTTAGTGTCAAGCTTGCATGGCCTATTCTTAATCGGGTAAAGATGACCCTTCTACGAGTCAGATCCTCCGAGGGCCACTTATCGAAAGTGTTCTTGATACGTGATTGAATCGACCATTCTCCATATATACAAACTTATTTGTTATTTATTTTTCTCTATTTCAAGTTCAATTTCACCAGAATAAACCATAATTCCCTCTGAGGGAAATAAACCACTCGGGAAACTTAATGAAACCCTACAAAAAAGAAAAGTTAGTCCAGTAAAAATCACAATCGTAATGCCATCTATTTAACCCAATGAAGTTAAATTTAAGGTTCATGCTTATTTTCTTTTTATTGATCATTAAATCTCACTTGGATTACGGTCTCATTCGTGCTTTAAGTTTTTAAACTTCAATTAGGGAAAATATTTGTATGGCCCTTTGATGTTGCATAACAACTGGAATAACATCGAAGACATTGAAATACAATTTGTTTGGTTAACTTGAATCTTGAAATAAAACCTATGGATTAAGCCACCGTAAATATTGCATTCAAATGAAAGAAATAACAAAATGGACGTTTTTTTTAATGTGGCATGAATCGAAAGAGATAATAAAACGACGAAGCAAGATCTGGTCTGTATAGTGGAAGTGGCATGTTCCATCCTAAGAAAATCTAGTAATTGTAGGCATTTTCCTGCTGCAACAGGACTCCTAGGGTTAACTAAATGCTGGGACAGTTTCACCTACTTTTTTGCTGTTACAGAAGAGTACAAAACTGTAGAACATCTATCAGGAAGAGATTTTTTTATGAATCTTGAATAGTTCCAAAAATATTTCTTTACACACTTCAACGAGCGACTGGGATGCCGTTCGATCGAGATCCATTTTCTACGGATTATCAAGATTTTGCCAGTAAACCGTCTTTTCACGAAACCTCACAATCTTCGACGTTGCTCCAAGATATACTAAAATTGTTAACGAGTAATTGATTTCATACTGGATTCAGTGTACATACTTGGATTTTTTTAACTTTCTCTTTATGATTCTGTGTAAATGAAAGCTTTGGTGTAAGAACATTTTTTTTTATTTTATGTACCGTACAATCTAGGAATTGAATAAAGTGATTTCGAAGGTACGCGAAGCGTTGACGTATAGTAAGTAATTTCCGATGGAGGATAGTCGAAGTATGACTGCATCATCATCTTGGCTAAAAACCAATATGGAAACTTTTTACTTAGGTTACTTTTTTCCCATTAAATTGATTGACTTACTTTTTAAATACTTACTAACTTAGCGTCGTTTTTTGGTTATTTTATTTCCTTTGTTTTAAATTGTTTTCTAACTCAGTTTTATTTCTTTTTTGCAGGGGTCTGGTCAAACGTTATCAACCAAAGAAGAAAGAGGAAGAAGATTACCAGTAAGTACTGTTTTCCTCCATGTTTTCGTGGCCGGTCCCGTCCGGGTATACAGGGTAGCGCGAAACGGGCACGTGTCCGCCGATGCGCTCCAGTCCATGATGGTAAAACGTGTATGAATTGAACTACGGCCCGTTCGGTGAATGGAGGAACATTCCTCAACGTAACTGCCGTTCTTTTTGATTGCTCCCTCAGATTACAAGTCACGGAACGTAAAATTTTCCCTTCGTCTTATCAAATAAAACGCGTCTCTTGTTAGGGTCGGTTCACGACTGCTTTTACCTTCGCCAAGTCGACGAGAACGGAGTATGTACAAAACATGGACGTAAAGATAATTAAATTGATTTTGGACGATTTAACTGTTTCTTTTTAATGACAATATTTCCATTGTAATTGTATCCATTTGCAATTGTTTCTTTTCTTTTGTGTTAAACCGAGTTTATTTCTCGTCTGTGAATATTTCTTTTTAGCGTGCCGTGGGAATAGATCAATCAAACAAATATATAAATTATACATGAGATTGTGTTAAAAACATGAATTGTAACAGGTGGCGTAAAACGTTCAACAGACCTGGTCGGCAAAATCGATGAACCCAGAAAAAAAGTCAAACGAGCCGGTTCAAGCTTGGCCGAACTGATTGATCGTTTACTCTATCATCCAAAAACCTAAGCCAAACCTTTTTGTGACTAGTTGGAAAAGCGAGGAGGTGAAATTCATGGCAGGTTGCACTCTGGGAATTTTCACAGCCCCACACGGTCGCGGAAGCCCATTGTCTCGGCCAACTGCGAACAGACTTGATAACGAAAAAGTTTATTCCGTAAAGTTCGAAATATTCTCTGGTTGTATCTGGTTTAAATGTCAACATTTATTAGGTTTGGTGATCCGCTTGACCAAATGAACTCTTTTCAATTAATTAATCTTTTTTTAATTAAGGTTTTGTTGAGATAAAAAAGTCAGTGTCACGAGCGGGATTCGAACCCACGACATTCGGCTAAATGTGCCGCCGCTCTACCACTTGAGCTATCGTAACTTCGATCCACTCGTACACCAACTTCCCATCTCTTGAAAAATGACAAAAAGGAGGAAAAATTCAAAAGGTGGGGTTGTGATGGGAAGTTGCTGTTCGGGTCGATCGAAGTCACGATAGCTCAAGTGGTAGAGCAGCGGCGTATTTAGCCGAAGATCGTGGGTTCGAATCCCGCTTGTGACACTGACTTTTTTATCTCAACCAAAACCTTAATTAAAAAAAAAATTAAATATCAACTTCATTCGAAACCGAACTGTTGCTGATGATAAAAGTAAACGTCTCGCGACCCGCCTGGTAATTTGACTGGTGGTTATAAAATGGTTCCGAAATGTTTTTCATTGTTCGTCGTAAATGCCGAAAAAAGTTCTGCGATACAATTGTTATGCTAATTCACCTGTCTTAAAACTATGTCGGATGTCTTCATGATAACAGTTCTTATCTTTTATATCCGAGATGTCCATACGTTGGTTGTATGTATGTGAAAGAAAGTAAAGTCTCTCTCTCTCTCTCTCTCTCTCTCTCTCTCTCTCTCTCTCTCTCTCTCTCTTTTTTCACATTTGTAGCCTATAAATATTTGTACTTATTACAAATGTGATCAAAGTACTTATTTTTTCACATGTTTACTCTAATGCCAGCGCTGCAGCCGGAGGGCACATGCCATGAGAAACCAGCCTTTGCTGGCAGTCAGTATGAGAAATTAAGGGGCAAGGAGGTCTTGAAGGGTCGTTTAAGGGGTTAAGGGGACGTAGCGTGTTCTCGGGATGGAATGTGCAGAGAAGGTTCGAGCAGTAGAGTTAATATGGATCGAGAGGTTGGTGTCAAACTTTTGGACGGATCGCGGTTAAAAGAAATGTTGAGGTCGTTGTGGATAGTGAGTTTACTGACGTAGTAATATTTGACAATTCGTCTGAGTACTATAGATTGGAAGAATGCGCTGGGTGTTGGACGGCTTGGCAGAAGCCCACATTTCCACTTCGTATGTTTAAAGTGGTCGCAGTGAGCTGTTAATGTAATCTGACTGTTTTCTCTTAAATCTTATGTGGATTTCACATCAGTCTGCTAGCCTATGTATAATCCTAAGTGAATGGACGTCGGTATCTCTTTGCTGTAGATAGTTGTAGGTGGTGATGATGGTCAGCAGTATAGATGATATAAAGTACGGGACCAAGAATGCTCCCCTGTGGGACGCATGTATCGGACTAATTTTTGACAACTCGTTGCCGCATCTCACTTTGAAACAGCGGTCTGTTAGGTAGGATTTCAAAATAAGACATTCAATTTTGTTTAAGAATGTAGGTGTTTTATTTGACTCTATTTGAACTTTTATGTACAACATAGATTTAGTTGTAAATAGAACGATTAAGTTATTAAATTGAGTTTCAGTTATAAAATATTAATTGTTTAAAAACAGTATATTATTATTTGGTTCTGTTTGTTCCGAGGTCTGCCTACAGTAAATTATTTAAATATTGACCTTTTTCAATTTGTACGTCTCAACAATTTTACATCTAGTATAAAAATAAATACTGTTTTAAAGGAAAAAATATTGAACTCTTCAATTGTTCCATTAGATCTGTATAGAAAGGTTGTTGTTAGTTGTTAATCTTACAATTAGTCAATAAGAATTAACATCATCAGTAGATGCTTTTGTGAGTACATCAAATTAAAACCATGTGCCGTTAATAATAATCATTTTTTGGTTAGCATATTTGGACCTTTCTTCCAACGTATAATTTACTTGTTAACATACTTTCTGAGATTATATAGTCATTATTTTCTTATATGAACGAATAGAAAGACAATTTATTTTTCGAGAAAATCACAACTATTTAAAGTGCTAGATGTTCCTGGACGTGTCATAATCGTTCCACTGCGGGTGGTATGAGGGTCTCCTGTACATAATAAAGCCAGTCCTTCCAAACACCTTATAATCCGCTCCTACCTTACAGGAGGATTCTTCCGAGTTTACCATGGGTCGGTTTAATCCGATTACTGTCCTCTGGGAGCTGGAGTAACTCCTCTACACCTCAGACAACCTCTACCCTCCTTCATCCTTTGCAGACGACATAGCCATGATATTCTTTGATCCCGAATAGCTGAACGGAGTAAAGTTTGGAGGATAAAAATTTAAAAAAATAAATGCAGACATTTTATATTTACCCTGCAGAACAAAACCTACACGTTGTTCAACAACGACCTATTCCTAAAATCGACTGCGTACGCTACCTTGGGTTCTATGTGTGGTGATTAGTGACACAGAAGACACACTTTGAGTGAGTAGAAATACTTTGATTGAATATAAAAAAATATATTTTGCATTGTATAAATTCACTTTTTCACATCCTAAATGTATTTGTTAACTGTAAACAATGTTTGTAAATCCCAGGCCCTGAAGATATCTCAATAAAGGTCGAAACGTTGGCACGATAAAGAAAATGTTTTTCTGAAACCTACATCACACGGTTCTATCTTGACTCACTCTTAACCTGGAACTGATGTACACATAAAAAAGAGAGGAACTGAACTGACACTTCGGTCTTCTCTATAAACTAGTTGGTCGCAAATCTAACAAAATGACTGTACAAAACACTACTCAAAACAATTTAGCTATATGAACTAGAACTATGGGGAACGGCTAAACATACCAATATCGAACGACATCAGTCCTTCCAAACCAAAGTTCTCAATAGTCAACCCTCCCTACTGTATCTCCTATACCACCCTCCACAACAACCTCAAAATAACATTAATTAATCCCTACCGAATTTTCCAAGTTCCATGATTCACTCTCCACTCACCCCAATCCACTAGCCCAATGCCCGACATAATCCAACCTTATAGACATGCGACTAAATCGGAGATTACCCCTGGACCTCTCGCCAAGGACTAGCCTTAGACATTTTGAATGATGGAGTGAGTGTGGTGTTCAATCTTTTTTTTAAAAAGATAGTTCCTACTCACATTAAGTTGTTTTGCAACGATCCTGATTTCGAGCCCTTTAGCTCATCATCAACGCGACGTTCCAATGAGCAGCTGGTTTTTTAATCAAATCCAATTGGAAGGTCGCGTTGGCGGGGGTATCAGCGGGTTCACTTTTGGAATTCATGTCGAGAGACGTGGTTGTAGAAGTCCTTCAACCTGATGAAGAGCTAAAGGGCTCGAAATCCGGATCGTTGCAAAACAACTTACTGTGAGTAGGAACTATCTTTTTAAAAAGGATAGGACTAGCCTTTGTGTAAGTTGGTTTTGTGTAAGAATGGTTGCTGACCCCTCAAGACGATGTATTGTACATATTTATGATAAAATCCATGAAAGTACAAAATGTATTATTTTATACAGTTGGTAATAAATATTTTATTAGAAGCAAAAAATGTATCCATCACTTCTTACGAATAATCAGGATCTCTTCGTCAGTTCCTTATACAATCCACATTATTCGTGAAAATCACAACGACTGTCTTTCTCTCTGTCTTACTGGTAAAATAAGTTTCTTTTTAGAGATAGATAGATAGATAGATAGTTAGAGAGAGAGAGAGAGAGAGAGAGAGAGAGAGAGAGAGAGAGAGAGATGAGATGAGATGAGATGAGATGAGAGTGGATACGGCTTAAACTTGCAAGTCCGGCGTACAACTCTTAATTTTACTTTTTGAAAAACCCTTCCAACATTTCGGAGAGAGGAATTCCGATTTTCGCGAACATACGGTATTCCTTTGCAATAACGAAAAAATTTTAAAATTTTTTGCCATAACTTTGTCATATTTTGATCAATTTAAAATCCGATTGCACCATTGTTTTAAGCGTAAAAATGATTTGTCAGGGTGTATAGGGTCGTATTTGAACTTTTGAAGTTGACCTGGGCGTTAGGTACCCTGTATCATTTTTCTCAAAAAAAAGGTAAAAATTAACCAGCCAAAAAATAGTAAACGCGTATTTTTTAATTAATTAATTATTTTTCATAACGTCATTTGTTGATGA